TATAAGAAATTGTGATATTGAATGGGTGCTACGAGGATATAAGAAAGATGAATAGCCCAGGACAGAAGGAGAGATACCACAACTGTTTAGCACACATTTGGTCAAAGGATCGACTTCACTCGTCTCTGACGAGTTGTAGCTTGGTTGTTAAGACTGGCAAGGCTCACTGACGATGCCGGCGTAACGTCTGCGAATCTACCAAGTCCACGGTTAACTCTTGGAATTATCATGAATTCTGTAAACTACAGACAAGGTGTATTTTTTCCTGTCAATATGACCAAGTTGCGAAAATAAGTTCATACAATTTCTATACAACGAAAGGAGACCGCATCCATACAAAAGGTCACACCATCCTGGTTTTCATAACTTCTACTAAGCCCCTCTTAGTTACGAGATTGCCAAATGCCGACCAAAATTATATTGCATATAGTGCTTTATAGCAAATTTATGGTTGCCTACTTATTCAAGTTTTGCCTCTGAAAGCTTGGGTTGATAGGTCCTTTCTTTACCATACAAAATAAATAAACTTAGGTTCTTGCAAGGTTGGCTTGACTTTGTTTTCGCAGTTCGGTTAGAGCGATAACGGGACCTTGGGCAACGTACATAGTTCCGCCTCCTCTGCCACAGTATTCATAAGGATTTCCAGCATCGGAACAGTCACTTGCTACATTCCTATAAGTCATCGGTCCAATGCTGGAAATCATCATGAATACTGTGGCAGAGAATACAAGACTAAGTACGTTCCACACACACGAGTTCAGACCAACACTATAGAGCCAAAAGAGATTGCCACCAAACAAAGGCCATGTCATTTTGTCTCCATATATTAGGTTCTTGCAATCTAGATATTCGTGAGCTTGTTTCTAACCGACACATCAACGATTCGAATCGATCTGGGAGTGTGAACAATGCGACGATTGAAGATAGAAATTCCAAACCAAGCCTGATGAGAATAGCCGCTTGTGCAAGCTGGAGAATTACCTTCAGCTCATTGGGAGCAATTCCGCATGTTAACATTAATAACGATGCAAACCGTTATCCTATAGTATTATTCATTTATATACTGTTTCTGTAGATACTACCAAGTAAATTGTTTAATCATCTGAATAATATTTCAGGAATATTTAGCTGGACTGGCAACATATCGAGCTGAGCTCGCCGCCAGTAAACAAGATATTTGTCAGGCAATTTCTGAACGTGCACAGCATCTTCATACTGAAATTGATCAAATCGTAGCTGAGCTTTGTCAAGACGTCAACGAACGAATAACTACTGAAAACCTCGCAGCAGACCAAACAGCAGCCAAACTGGTGAATTTGCTGAGCAAGTGTCAGACTGCAGAAACTTTTGCGCAAGCCATACTCTTGCATGGCAGGTGATCCAAAGTTTTTATTACTTACCTACCGCCATAGTGGTCATAAATAAACTCAAAGTTGTATATATATATATATATACATATAATAATATATATCATATATATATATATGTACATCATATGGCTAGAGGCCTTAAAATCACGAGGTCTATGAGGTAATCTACCCGCCAATAAACTCGAAGTTCCTGAGTAGACATTACAAAGAAGAGTCTGGTGCGAACAAGATTCTTTTATATTCTTTTTACATGGATAGATAAGCTACTTGCTACTATTCTTGTCTATATTTATACGTGTCTATCTAATTTGATTTTTCGTTTTATAAGAAGTTTTCCTAGGCTTCCTGTAGAACCGATAGAAAAGCTGTATTCACCCTATTTCGATTAAAGTGATGAAGGGCAATCCTTTATCACCTTCAACGAACTAGGGTGAATATGGCTCATATAACAGTTCTACTGAAGTCTATGAAAACTTTTTATGAAACAAAAACTAAGTAATGTAGTCGATTGCTGTAGCAAATAGAACTTTACTTAGTCAACAATCTCACCACAGAATGTGATATGGGAACATGCCTGGTCTTCTTTAACATTCATATTTGTGCTATGACCCGAGAACACTTGTGGAAATGTGGCGGAGTAGTTACCGTGTTTAGATTATGCGTTGCACTGTCATGGTTCGAGACCCGCTGGGGGTGATGAAGAGGCCCATCCAACGTCGAAATTGAACCCCAGTCTGGCCTGTATAGAAGTACCTTTTGGGAAGCAAATATATGTAAAAATCATTAAAAATATAAGGCCTACTCATATAAATGTGGGAAAATTCTATTACCAGTACTTAAACTACTTTAACGAAATATGTTTAATACAGCTCTTACATATAATCAGTAACACAAATATCTAACATTAATTATCACTTTATACTTAAGCTTACTGTCTTTCATTCCTGTATTCTTGCCGAAAAACTTTTTATCAAGTCTTCATCATCAATTCTTTTAATAGTTAAATCAGATATTTAATATTTATTTCTCAATAAATTATTTTTTATATCTATATGTTAATTATATTAGGGTATGCTGAAAATACAAAAAAGGTGTCATCAGGGTGCAATGCTAATGTATATTGTTTGATTAGAACAAAAATCAGCTAAAATTTGTTGGGCAAGCACTGTTCTACACGTTTACTTAGGAATTCTTAAAGTTTCAATGACTGATTAGTTATATGTTTTCGTATTTTATCAGGTAACAAAATAATGATAAGAATCATATAAATTTGTATATTAGAATAAGACCAATGAGGGCAAACAAAGGTGCGGCATTTGTGATTATAGATAAAGCAAATTATGTAGTACAATTCTAGCAGATTCTAATTGGGAATTATGGCTAGGCGCTTTAAAGATATAAGGCCTAAGGGGCACTTACAACTGTGTGTTAGAATCGAGAACCTGAGTAGTGGTAATTCAACGCACTACTTTAACAATACACCAAATTACTGTACCCAAAATTCACAAAAAAGTGGTCCCAACCTTGGGTGTTATTGACGATAAACATCACAATTTATTTGTAGTCAATTAAAGCAAATGACAGAATATTTTTAGATATTAATAAAGAATTCTTATTATCTTGATATGATATTTGATGAGTAAATGGTAGAAACGGGAGATAGGCCTATAAGTTTTGATGTAGTTTTAATGTACGCTGGAATTCCGGTAACTTGTGAAGAACATGCGTTAAGCTTTTCATTACACTAGCACCCAGCTAATATAGCTGGAAAAGGGATATGCAAAGGGTCAGTAGTATGCTCGACGAAATCAGTAGTAAATAGTGCATATATTACATTAAATGGTAAATTAGACGTTTGAGCTAGACGTTCCTCCATGAGTTCTTGCTTGTCTCCAGTTTCAGCAACACTACGCACTTATAAGCTTTTCGTCTAATTCAAGAGGCGCCTCTAGTCCACAAGTTATCGGCAAGATGTATGAACGATTGCCTTACGATGTAGAAACACAGCAAAGAGAGAATAGCGCAACTCTTTAATTTAATTAAGGGAAAAGTTAGAACGGTTTCATTAAGAATGTAGTTAGAAAAAGATAGTAATTTATCCTTTTAGGATATCCTGGCTAATAAAGAGTAAAACAAAGTTGGTATGGAAACCCACGAAGTCGGATTTCCTTCTAAATTCCATTGTAATCAGACTTAATTAGTTTAAGTATGGGTTATTACATCAATGCTAGTAAGGAGTTTGCGTGTAGCAGGCGTAAATCACAGTGACAAAGAATTAGAGAATATAAGAAGAAACTTAGTTCAGAAGAAGTATTAATTAGGATTAATCATCAAATACTTTATCATATTAAGTAAAAGCGTGATAAAAATATAAAAATGCAACTATAACATCTGTTTTGAAATGGACATGCGAAATACTGAGGAGATAGAATGTTTGTATCCTGTATAAACAGGCAAACACTTTTCTATTTCATAAAATTTAACAAAATAAGCACTATCCTGAATAGGGGGCAAAAGGCTGGTCACCTCTGACTAGCTAACAAGTGAGAAGAGGAGGCTTAGCCAACCTTTCATCTGATTTGGGCTAAAACACAT